GAAAGCTTTGTTCGTTGTTTTAGTATTACTTAAAAATGTGCATACTATCTTTGTGATTTAAAAAAAGACTGTTTACACGAAATATTTTGTATCTTAAGATGTGTGTACTGTAAAAAGAAAAAAAAAAGGAAAGGCTGAAAAATGATGTTTTTCTACAGCTGTCAGCAGTGACTACATGTCTATATCATCGTCCACCGACCGTTGTTCCTCAGGGGTCTCCCCGCCATTCCTGTGATCCTTTCAAAAGCTTAGGGAAGCAAGTGAATCCCTGTACAGTCTCGAGAAGAAGGTTTTGTGCCTTAAGAATGGGACCTGCTTCCCTTCTATTTATTGTGTTAATTTATACAGTGATTGCCATGGAAATCTCTTGTATGTTTTTGTACATAGTTTACTGTTGATTGTTGTAAATAAGTTTTTCCTGTATATAAAGTAAACATGTTTCTGAGCTTCCAGTAAAGATTCTCTGTTACTGATTTCATTGTGTGAGAGGGCTGCAGTGCCCATCTGGTGGGAACTAGCTAATAAAAGCCTGTGCTGTGATAAAATGGCTTTATCCTGCGTTGCATCAGAAGTTCAGAGCTTTTTCCTTTAAGAGAGATTACAAAACTAATCTAGAACAACAAATATGATTGTTCTAGATTAGTTTTGTAGCATTTCTTTGTGTTGGTTTAATTGGCATGGAGTAGAAGACGTTTTTCTTAGCTATATCTCTGCAGTGAACAAAAGAAGAGATGTTTTAAATGTGGTGGTTCTACTGCTGCTCATCCTGATCCACTGTCTGCAAACCCACAGCTAGATGGGAAGACGCTCTCAGAAACACAGCAGGGTATTTGTTACCTCCGTGCGCTCGTAGACCTCCCATCAGGTGGTGTGGTGTGACCACGTCTTCCTGGTCCTGGTGGTGGAGTGCCATGATGAGAGGGGCACAGTTGTTTCTCTACTCCACTTGGGTCTCTGTGCATTCAACTTATTGCAGGCAGTATATACGGTAACTGGAATAAGTGAAAGTGCATTTACAAAAATGTGGGAGAAATGAACTTTCTCATGAAATGTAGAAATTGACTGCCATAAAATGAGGCCTGTAAACTTGAAACTGAAAGATTTGGAGATGTTTGGGTGAGCAATCCATGGATCGGATTGTGATGAGCTTTCTCTTCCATCTGTACAGATTGATGTGTTCGTAAGATGCTGACAAGAAACTTTCAGCGGATTAATTTAAACTGAGGGGATGGTCATAGAGTTCCATAGTACTGTTGCAAAGTAAATGGACAGTGACTTACAATGGTCGTGAACATTTTCTACGTGAAAAAGGCCTTTGTACTTCATGGTTAAACTGAAGGAATTACTTTGTCTTTGTGTGGAAGGAATAGTTTATGTGACAGGAACATAGGAAACTGTAGTAATGTTATATACTGTTGCAAGATGAAAATGGTAAAATTGATCATTAAAATGTTAGTTACTTAGTCCTAGAAAACAAAAATTATTGCCTTTGCTCTCACATGCACCAGACCTGAGAGTCAGGCTCTGCATTAAGTAGCATTACAGAAAACCTGCAAAGAAAGCAGCAGCAGAGAGACAGAACGTGTGCTTACTCCTCTGATGCAGGTAATTTGGTTTTGTCCTTTTTTTTTATTTATATGGCAGAAGCTAATAGCAAGAAACTCTTTGTCCCACTCAGTGTATCATTACTTGAGATATCAAACCTGCTCAGGGCTGCCATCCTCTTGGTTCGATTGATAATTACCTAATGGATCTT